GCCTTTGGAAAGCAAATATAAACATATACATATTCCCTATATAATGTTATGCTTCTGTTTACAGAAGTTTTCCTAGGCCATACTTGTTCTGCTGTCATGATTTTGTAGTAGCAGGCAAGAATCACTCAGTAATTCTTTAGATGTTTACTGGTAAACACTGAAATGGTCCGAGATGCATACATTTAGGATAACATGCTGGTGCCTAACATGTATATATTACTGCATCTTCGTATTTTGTATGACTTGCCCCGCTCGTTTACGCTGATCAGCATTGTTAAGCTGCCAGAGATTTAGCTCATATTGATAATTTCTTAATGTTCAGGATTGGGAAAAAGTTCTTCTCAGATAGTTATCCTAAAGTTCTACAATTAGGCCTGAAATAAGTTTACAAGTAACTTTAAATACTAATATGGAAAGTATAAAAGGAACAAAGCACCAATAAGTGGGTTGGTGCTGCTGGCAGTATCCTAATGCAGTGTGTGTAAGAGGAGCTTTGCCTCTGCCGTAGTACTCACACCTATATAAAATCCTGTGATGCAGATTTATGGATAAATTGAAAAACAGCATTGTGAAACATTTTCTAAGATTTAAGAGAAAGTAATAAGGGATCCTTCCAAAAATACAGCAGAATGCTACAATATTGCCAAAACGCTGCAGTGATGTTGGTGGAAGCCATGATCTTCCTTGACCATTATAAATAGATTAGTATTATTATAAGAATTCTTTTCTTATTAGCAATGAAGTATGTTTTCCTCTCTTCTACATACAAACAATTTGGTGTTCATTGGACAGGCCAGGAAATACTCCCACTTATGGCAATGGGAGCCATGCCTGCAAAAGTACTATATAACTGGGCCTCAGGCTGTTGGAGTGACCTTTTATGATGTGTAGGTTTTGTTTAATATACTATAAACTCTCCTTTTGTAATTTTGGTTTTATTTCCTTCCACTTTTTTCTTTCTCTCTCAAAGACATTAGAGAGTGTTGTATGTGGTAATTTTCAGATCCATATAAGTTTACACAAGGGTTTGGTTCAAGGTTGAACCAAAGGTTAATTCAGATTCACGGTACTGAAATATTGCAAGTTGTTGGAGACTTCTGCCTCTTTTGGGTCTGTACCAGTTCCAGAAAAGTTTCTTTCATATTAGTTCATAGACCAAGTTCTAAGATCAAGGAATTTGAATCCAAACCTGTCTCCCCTCCTGAATTTCAGAATGGAAGAGAGACCTGAGGACTCAGACTTAATCATCTGGTCTGGGAAAATCTTTATGATATTTTTTATTTTCCTTCATTGTCTTTTTCTATAGAGGGTGAGAATGCAGCTTGCTCAGAGAAGATGAGTATGTTTTTGCACTTATGCACAGGCTGCTAAAGGAGCTGAAGTCCAGTAAGTCACTTGCTACATTGAGAGGCACCTTAGAAACATGTAAGATTAACTCATTCTTGTAGTATTTTGCCCTTGTATGCTTCATGCCTCTTTAAGGGTAAGGCATATATATGTACAGTGTGTTTTTATATGCAAAATGCAGTTTACACATGCTTTTATTTTTAGTTGCAGACAGCATATGCCTCCTGACAGTCCAAAGAGGGTCTTGTCTAATATTTCTGACAGCTTTATTTTCTGTCAAATCCAACCTGTCTCTCTCTTTCTGTGAATCACAAACATGAAATAAGACTCAGGTAATCCACAATGGGATCTATTAATATTGGCCATTTTCAGAGGCACAAAGGACAATTACTTTCTTTTCCTACTGATCTCCTGCTGGCTTTCCATCCACTTGGGAGGCAGGTGATTGTAAGATGCTACTTTGCCCAGTACATCAAATACCTACAGAATCTTTGCTTGCTAAGGTTACTGTTCCTAAACCCAGTGGCAACACCAGAAATCGAACTTGAGTGGCCCTGAGCACCATCTCCTACTGTGAATGAGTCACATAGTCACCAGCACTTTGTAGAGTTAAATTTTATCCACTGGCCCTGACAGTGCTGGCAATTGTCAGCTAAAAGACCCTTCAGTGAATTGTCCCTTAACAGAGAGTCTTTTCCCCCGCTTTGTTGTAGTTTTAATTTAAAAAAATATCCTGGAAAGGCTGGTGGCAAAGCAAAAGAGCATTCTTTTGCCCAGGTTTTCAGAGATTAAGGAACTAGGAAACAAACTAAGAAATATGGGTCAAAGGTTACTTTTTTAAAGGTTATTTTTAAAGAATAGCACCTCCCAGAATCTCATAGAGCTCACAGTGCAGAATCATACTTTGGCACATAGGGGGTTTGTGACCCATTGTACAATACTGGGGAAGAGTCTGTCATGTATTGGTTTGATATCGGGTGCCGGAGATTTGGCACCAGAGAACCTGATGCTGCTAGTTACTGAGCATCTTTTAGGAGATGCTGCACACCTAAACTCTCCATTGAAGATGTTATCTCCTGGGAGGTACTCAGCATTTGACAGAGTAAGGAGCATAATAGAGAATGAGCACTTGGTTGCCCTACTAGGGAAATGCTTGCGTTTTTGGGCTGGAGTAGAGCTGTAATTAGGGGCCTGTAAATGTTCAGAGTTACCCTGGTTTAACTTTAAAATGTTTTAAAAACAAATTTAGTTAAACTGCTACAAAATGCAGCAGTCACTCTTTAAATCTAATTTAAACCTCTCATTTATGTATTCAGTTTCTTTACTCAGTAAAGATAAACCATTGACTGGTTTAAATTAGATTAAGAGTGTCTATACTATGTTTTGCAGCTGTTCATGTAAATCAGTTAAAGTCATACCTTTAGTTAAGCTGATCCAGGTTGGAACAAAGTTTATGGGTTCTGCATCTTTAACTGCTATCAAACAAAAACTGCTAATTGATACAAGTAGAAGTAAGTTTTCAGTTTTTGGTAGTCTTGTCTGATGTTTTTGATGTAATCAAAAACTATGGGAAATATTTGTAATACCTTGGCTAACTAAGTGTTTATTCAATCAGAACAGATGGATTAAAAAGTTAATTTACAATCTTTTTAAAAAATTGAAATACCTGTGACTATTTTAATGTCTCTATTTAGTGAATGGAAGTGTTGTTTCTCTCAGCAGGGAATGCCGTTTTTAATGATACAGCAACTTACCTTCTAGCAGGAGGCAATCCTCATGAGGCAGATGTAAACTGAGAAGAATTAAGGACCCATCAAAAACAGTGGAAATCAATTTCAATGTGATGTTTAAGGCAGGACCTAATTTCTGTATTTTTGGGTTGAAATGCTTTTCATGTAACAGGTGTCTAAATTAATCTGTAATCTGTTTTATTCACAAAGGTGATTTGTTCGAATATTAGAATTTAATTCTGGCACCAAAAGTTCCACTAACATTAGTGTTAGATTTTGATGCTTTAATAGTATATGTAGAGTTAGGAACATATATACCCACATATTAGTCCCGTGTGTATAATGGACATAATTTTAAAATGGGGTTGGTGATTTCAGGTGCTTTGGTTTTCTTGTTGCCCAATTTGATATACCTTACAGTATCCTAATTTTAAGATGGCAGATATTTAGTACATTTGAAAATTAGCCTTCCTTAAAGTAAGTCAAAAGGGGCACAAAAGTCACTAGATCCTTTTGAAACTGGCCAATATGTGCACACATAATGTGCATGTTTGTGTACATATAGGTACATATTAAATATTTTGCCTGGATAAGGACGTCAGGATCAGATTTTACCAGTCAGACCACAAAGGTGATACTGCAGTGCTTACCAGTCAAACCACAAAGGCAATATTGCTTACCTGTAACCACAATTTACTTCCTGTGAAGGGTACACAGGCTTCTGTATGTAAGAATCATAAAAGATAGATAATTGATGCGAAAGATGCAATATTCCACGTTGCTCATCCACATCTGGAAGAAGATTGTGTGTTTAGTATATGGCAGATACTGGGTCTGAAGCTGAGTCTTTTGTAAGTCAAACGTAAACTTTACATTACATTTAGATGCGAGACCATCCTTGTTCTGTGGAACAAACATTGACCACAGCCGTGTCTTTGAGGGTGAGAGAGGATGTATATGTGAACCATGCATAGTTTGCTGTGGTTAAGATTAATGAGTTCAAGGTAATTAATTAGCTCCAGTTTACAGGCATGAGGCCTAGCCCATGCATTATGTAGTCTCAAATTTAGGATGAGTTTTTTTTTGTTCTCAATGCAAACTTGTTGATGACATCAGTTTCATGCCTGCTGCTGATAACCAACAAAGATAGAGTTGGAATGGAAATTATTGAGGTAGTTGTCACTTCTATAAAACAGTTTTGAATTGAAACCTGAAATTATATATAATGAGGCATTCCTATAAACAGGGTTGCCTTAGGTGAGTAACATTTTGGACGGTATGATGGAAGTTCTGCAATTGTAGGGGCATAATATTAAGTCTCATGAGGCAGATTACAAATGAGGGAATGCTGATGCATATATACAAATATATATATGTGAATTTAGTGCTTGTGAAAGGAAATTGATAGACAGTTCTGGAAACTGAAGGTCTCTATCCCCTAGAAAGGTGTAACAGATAGCAGCTATGCAAAATTGTGTGCACTGCATTGTCACCGGGACCTCAACATTTCTGTGTAGAGAGCTCCTCGAGGAATAAGAAGATGACACAGTCTACCCCAGGGGTCAGCAGTGTTTTTGGACAGAGTGCCCCAAAACACCTGCAGCCTTGACTTGTAAGATCTTGGCATGCCAAGGGCAGATGGCAGGGGAGCTGTGAGGGGCCTGATTCCTGTCATGGCAGCACAGCCCCAGCCCGTTCCCCACCATCTGCCCCATGGCGCATGTGCCAAGCAAAAGGCCTTCGCATGCCACACTCTGGCACCCGTGCCAGGGGTTGCTTACTCCTGGCCTACCCATTCAGGTCCTGATTCAGTAAAACACTTATGCATATGCTTTTATAGAAGCATGAGTAGAAGGATTGCTCACTAGAAGTTAAACACATTTGAGTGATGTGTTGGGTGGAGGACATAATTCTTGAATTTTCTGTTGATACTGCTAATGAGAGAACTGATTTTTGTGGTTTCTGTGATCTGATGTCTTTTCTGTACCAGGAACCATAATGAGACCACCATTTCATTTCACACAGGTCACCAAGAAGCCTCAGATGATAGAGAGATGAGATATGCTTTAATGAGGCAGAAGGTGGGGGGAGGAGGAGGAGAACAAAGTCTTGCACTTTGGAAGCAAGAATGTTCCTTGTTTATCACTCAAACCCTGGTGCTTTGGATTGGTAGAGGAAGTGGCTTCTACTTGGAAGCTGTAAGTTGAAAAATGTATAAAAGAACAGAAAAGAAGAAAAAGATTCAAATCTAATATGTACACACATGTATGTGAGCGTGCATACACACACACACACACACACACACACACACAATTTACTTCTGCTGATATTAATGGTATTTTATTTGAATTTGAGACACTTCTCCCAATATGTATATATTTTAGAATAATATTTGATTTGATTAAAACATCATTAATATCAGTAGGAATACATGTATAAATCCTTGCAGAATATGTTGAAAGCGAAGCATAAAGAATTAGCCTTAAGAGACTTTAGTAACATTTCCACTGCACAAAGTTGTGAAACTTTCTGAAATCCTTGCGGGTCTTTTATTTCTACTGTCCTTTATTTTGGAATTCTATTCCTTTGCCCTTGTTAGGAGGCAAAATATTTGCATTTGGTAAAATGCTCTTACTTTTATTAGAAAGGTGTATACATTTTGCTTTCTCCAAGAAAAGATGCTTTGAAACATTTTTGTGCTACACTAAATGGATCTCAAATACGGTATGTGAGCAGTAAAAATCTGTTCTGTGGTCCTAATTAAGCAAAACACTTTAGTATTTGCTTAACTTTTAGAACAAGGTCTAATCCATCTCATTTTGGCAAGACATTTAAGCATGTGTTTAAGCAATTTGATGAATTATAAAAGATGGAGTTTAGGAATAAAATCTTAAAAATTTCTAGGTCTTAGTGACTTCCAGTGACAGAGCTCCTCAGTCCCTAAGACATATTTTAAATTTGACTTGGGCTAAGTTATGTGTGTATTTTAATTTTTTTTTTCAATAAGTGTTTAACTTCTTGATGATTTAATAGATGGGCAGGTTTACTGAAACTGATCAGATTATGCATGAGGTATTAGCTTTGGAAAAATTGCGTGGGTTTTTTAGGGCTCTGCTGTTTACAAAATCACATGCAATATAGCTCTAAGGTACAGGTTCCCAAATTTTTTCCACTGGTGGACTGTTCTCAATGCTTTATATATTTGTTGGAGACCATCAGCCACCCTTAGCTTCAGATACTGAATTACCAACATGGTGGGGGGAGCTGCAATCTGTGGAGTAGGTGCAATGACTAATCTTGGCCTCAGACCACCAATGGCTCACAGACCAAAGTTTGAGGAACCACTGCTCTGAGGAATGATGCCGTTAGAGGAGATTGTGTTTCAAAATGTGTTTGCATTGTCTTTTTAATTTTTCTTGATTATATTTCAGTTTGTTTTATGAAATATTTATAAATCTGAGTTCATTCTGTAGTCCTGGCTGGTCATTTTTCCAAAAGCCAATATTGCATCTATGGCATAAACCATGTAGTCCATGAACACCCCAAAGTTCAGTTAATTTCAGTGAAAATGACACAGTTTATGGGCCTAATCCTCAACCTGCTAAAGTCAGTGGGAGTTTTGCTATTAATTTAAGTGGTCACATGAACAGATCTGATCCATTCCAAATTATATGTAGGAGGGATCAAGTCTTATCTCTGCCTGCAATTTTTGAAGAAGACTAAGGGAGTTGGGCATTCACTTTCCTCTGAAATTCAATTGATTTGATGGCATACTTTCCTTAGTAGGAAAATCTCATCCTCTCAGTGAAATTAGTGGAAGATTTGCCATTGACTGCACTGATTTTAGTGGGGCCAGAATTTTACTTACTGTTTTACAGTTCAAGAACTAGAGAATCTTTTCATTGACTTTGTATACTTATAAGCCCCTTATACTCATTTCTAATTAGTTTCCTTGTTATATAGCTTTTAAATGTTTTTGTCCTTCTGACCATGAATTGCTTTTCTGTGGAGCTGTGCACTTGTTTGTTTTATGTTATTCAGTTAAGTACATGGTTAAAGAAAAATAGGGGGAGAAATGAACACATGATCTGTTTTTTTTTCCCCTGAAAGAAAACATCACCTGCAAAATTCCTTTCAATAACCCACTATATAAGCATGTATGTTTGCTTACTTGAAAGACACACTATCTTCTTCTTTTAAACATTTGCACAGCAAAGTAATGCATTATTGCATTTTCATAAATAATTAAAAAGCAACTTAAAAGAAAGTAGGCCAGCGGAAAAAAGTGTTGGTTTCAAATTTGAGAGAAGAAAAAAATATTTCCTTCTCAACTGTAAGTTCAATGACATGGCATTAAACCCCATTGTCCCATGCCAAGATGACAAAAGATGAATATGACAATGATAGAGTTTCATTTAAAAGAAAAGAAAGGAAAAAGAAGAAGGGGAAAAAAAGATAGATTTGGAATGGTGAGAGGTTGTAAGCATCTGTTTTTTCTCTTAGTAAGGAAGACAATTGTGACCGCTTATCAGTTTTCAAGTGACAGAGGAGCAAATCTCTAGAGGTCCGCTTGTTGGATTTTCAGTACGACTTTTGATGCTGTGCTGAAATAAAGCAAGCTATTTTAGAACTGTGCATACGTTAGCGTTCTGGCACGGCATGATACAATAATGTGTGAAAAAGCATAAGATCACACCTTGGTGAAACTTGCAGATTTCCTGCATAATCTGACAGTGAGCTCTTGTCAGGTTTTGACTATATGTAAAGAGGGAATAAAGTTTCCAGAAGCAGGGCACAGGGTTTGGATGCATTTTTATGACTGTTTAGGGATTTTTTTCCCCCAAATATATGCCTGACTTAAAGCACTTCAGTTCCACTGAAGCCAATGGAATTACTTATGTCCTTAGAATCTGTCGTGTACTTAATTCGCTTGCGAAACTGGGGTCTCCTTTTGTTTTATGTTACGGAAGATAGAGGAATGAATTTAACCTTTTAAATTATGTAATCAAAATTCAAAATTTGAAAAAAAAATAAGAAAGCCTAGATTACAAAAACCATGATAATGCAAATGCAGAATATGAGCTGCAATAATTCTTCAAATGTAATGCTAATATTTCCCTCACCTAGCAGTGGATGCTTCAGTTTTCTGTTGATTTTAATGGAACTTTGAGAGAGAACTGGAGATTTGGACCAAAACATTAAGTTTTGGAGAAATACCTGGCCAGCCCAGTTATTGCTAGACACTTTCTGTGCTTGATTGTTCTTACAGGTCGTCAAGGTATTCAGATGACCTGAGACTGAGGAAATGATAGGAAAATCAGCTGACAGAAGTTTCAATTTGAGCCTGACAACCATACAAAGAATTTTTTTGCAGGATTAAGCCAAGGCTGTGTAGGAGGTGAAGAAAAGCTTCCTCACCATCACCAACACATCTGAAAAGTTTGGAGGGGCAGAGATTTTTCAGGTGTTGATTAACTTGGTTAATTCAGATTCTTTCACTCCAGTGACCACAAGGTTTAGTGGTAATTCATAATATAAAGTGCAGCAGAACTCAGGTCTGGTATACTCTGTAATGGCAAGACTCAAAAGATACTTGGGTTGGGTGCATGTGTCCTAAACTTTCTAAGAAAAAAACCCCAGATTTCTTAATAGAGATGGACAGAGGTAAACCAATCAGTCTCCTTTTTCCTCTATGATGGGAGTGATTATGTCCCAGAAGTTACTTGTTGTTGGTGTATTATTAAACGTAGTTGTGGCCACTCGGCCAAAACGATAAATGTCTGTCTCTATCCTTCTTAGCTTCATGCAATTCACAGCAAAGGTTGCATAATCTCCCACATGTAGGTGATACCCAGCTTTATGGATCCAACTCTTCCCTAGTCAGATCAGGTAAGTGACTTTCCTAGTGTTTAACAGAGTTTATGGATTAGAGGGCACATCTATATGTGCATTAAGGTGCTTTTCCTAATGCACATTAAATTTAGTACTTCCAGTGTGAGGTACTAAACAAATGCGCATCAGGCTGCCTTAATGCACAGTAACTGTCACACATGGTTGTTAGGTGACAATGTGCAGTAGCCTATTTTACTGTGCTTTAGCATTATAGCATGATGCTTTTTTACATGATGCTTTAATGCTCAATAAAATAAGCTACTGCACATTAAAGTGCATGTGTAGACACACCCAGAAAGGGAGGCCCAGCTAATTGTGACTTAGTCCAATTATGGCAGAGGTGAGGTCTGCAATGAGAGAGAAGGGAAACTGGGGTCAAAGTGCAGGATTTGCAGCATGATTTCTGACTGAGTGGGTATGTTTGCAGTGGGTGAAAAAGGCTCAAAGCCTATGAATGGGGGAAGTCAGCACTAGATGATTAGAAACCAGTAATTTCTTACTGCTTTTAAATTTATGCATTTGGCTGGAAATTTGAGACCTGTACCTGGTCATCTGAACCCAGAGCTGACACAAGCAGGGTGTGGGGCCTGGGGCAGTTCAGCCCATGCAGGGCCCCACCTCTGCTCCTATCCCATGGGCCCCAGACCCAAAGAAGCTGCTACCAGCATTGTTGGGGGGTGGGTAGTGAGTGGCTGGATGCGGAGCCACCGCTCCGCCCAGCTCCATGCCACCACTGCTCCACCTCGCTCCACGGGGCCCCCTAAAACGTGGGGCTTGGGGTGGTTGCCCTGATTCACCCCGCCAGGGACAGCTCTGTCTGTACCTTTGCATTAAGTTGGCACCTTTGAAACTGGGTTTTTCACCCTACAGATGATGAATAAACTTTGCTCATTGTTTGCATTTCTCTAGCACTATAGTATGCGAACTCCTAAGTGATTTGGGTTGAACCTATCTCATAAACTGGTCATTTCTGCCTGATCCTGTGGCAGTGCTGATCAGCTGAGGTATTTCAGCTAAAAGGATGGTGGCTTAACCAAGGGGCTGTCAGCATGGCCCTGCCCTTCCCTTTTAGGAATTTATTTTCCCTTGGGTCTGTCATGGGTACATTTCAAGGTGTAATGCAAAGCCCATGTGTGTTGTAAGACTTTTTATGTGTGGGGAGTAATTTTAGAGTATAAGAGGGGGCTAGTCATTCTGTTGTCACAGAGCCAGTATATAATTGTTTATCACTTTTTATTTTGTATTTGTGTGAACTATTGATCTGTCTTCAAAGTCTGTGGAACTAAATTCCAGTAGCTGGATTCTTTTTGAAAGAGGAAAAATCCTAGATGTCTATTTAAAATGTTGAAACAAGTAATAGTGCTGGATGTTTTGTTCTTAGGTGATCAAATCCACAAAGATTAGGGCATTGTGCAGAAATTGTCATCATGCTTACAGAGTTACTAACTATCAAATTGGTGGTGACAGATGCTGGAAAATGTCTCTGTTTCCTAACAGTGACCATAAAGCAAGATGAAATGTAACAGATGCCATCTAGAATGCCAGTTACTGAGTTCTGGACCTGTGTCTACCTTAGTTCCGTTGGGGCTTGAGACAGTGCCTTAATTTCTCTGCTTCAGTTCCACTCCATGTACGTGGGTATAAAGTATGTTAGAGGGATATTGTAAGATTTAATTTTTGTAAAGTGCTTTGAGATCCTGTAGTAAAAGGTATGAGATAAATGAAGTATAATTAGCAATGGCACTTGTTCTCATAGTAAGGACAATTATTTTTCTTGGCAGTACTTTCATTTTCTGGGGAATGATATTTATTTCTGTACGAGACAGATCTCAGGCTATATATGCTGGGGTTTCATTTCCTAGGACTTTTCTTTTTACTTGTTAACTGACAGGGTTTTTCTTATTAGGTCCCATATTTGATGTCCTGTTGAAGAGCAAACGAAGCATTATGATGCTATTTTTTGCAGCATAGAAATCTATGGTGACTCATTTAGTCTTCGTAATGCCTGTGACAGATTAAAAAAAAATCAAATCAGTTACTCCCAGTGAGACGGGTACACTCAACCAGACCCTATTTGAGAATTATTTGCTGCACTGCTAACAAAGTACATATTTTCCCCCCTAAAAGAATCCAGCTTATCATGAAATGTTTATCAAAGCCATGTAAACATTGTCAACTGCTGAATTTTGAAGAGAAATGCTTGCAAAACAAAATGTATTGCAAAACAAAGCTCTTTACAGTTAAAAAAATTAGCTTGGTTACAGCCCTACTTGTTACCAACCATGCCAACATCTGGCAAGGATACAGAGATCTGGAAATTCATTGCTTGAAGCCATGGAACAAAGTGTTCTGATCCGACCTCAGTAAGCAGAGTCCAGGACTTGAACTGCAATCTTCAGGAGCAGAAGTCTTAAGTGTCTGGAAAATTGGCCCGTTGAGTCACTACGCAGGCACTAAAACAAAACTAATTTTAAGCAGGTCAGAGTTCAGTGATTCCCTCTGGAGTCTAAAACTTCCCCCCCCTCCTTAAAAAAAAAAATGTCATGTTTTAAGTGAAAAGGGTCAAAGTTGATGCACTGTTACAATTTTTGAATGCTTTCCCTTAAGAACAGCCACCCAGGCTAGGATTAGCATGAAGGGCTGCTAGGCTGGCACTTCAGTGTCTGGGATAAAAATATTTTAAAGCAGTAAATGCAGTCAGTACAGAAGGAGAAAGATCCCTGGGAGCCTTCTTCAAGAGTGTGAGAGCTCAGGGCAGCAACTGCAATGTAATTTAGGGCAGCATATGTTTCATAGCTTTGGAGAAGATTGCCTCCTTTTAATGTTGCATTGGAGGACTGTGAGATAGTAGTAATGTTAGGAAGGTGGTAGTTCTGTTTGTTTTACATTGAAAACTTCAGAATAAATAAAGAGGAACATGAACTGAGGTGGAAATGTAACTGGAAAACTACCAGTGAATCCATTTCTGAACAGGATCTAGATACATCAGAGGGAAATGTGCAGAGGGATGTTTTCATGGGGATGGAGCTGTGAAGAAACTTAGCAAAAAAGAGAAATCGGGTATGTACTTTCCAGATCAACAGAGCACTCTTTTATCTAAGTATCCATTTGGGAGTTAGATGCTCCCTGTGATTGGGTAATATGAGGCTCAATATAATATTACAAACAAATTTCTGGGTAATTAAGAAAAGCTGGTGTTAATTTTACATCACTAAAGCACAGGTACTGTAAAGTATTGAATTTTCTCTTTCCAAAAAGATTTAAGAAGGTTTCCCTCTCCTCTTTCCAGTGATGAGCTTTGTTAATATTTTCTTCCCCACGTCTCAGAATTCTTTTTACATTTGCAGATGGGAAGAGCAGAGGCTAATTTTCCTCAGCAGGCTTGAATAAATCCCACTTGTGTTGTGAATAGTGGTCTCTCTCTATTTCTTAGGACACAGTTGGCGCATCTACATGAGATGCTACTGTGCAGTAGTTACTGCACATTTTTTTAGTACTTGTATAAGCAAGTACTTAATAAATGAACAGTAACCGGTTAATGGGCAATAGCACCAGCTAACTTCTTTTAAGTGACACTATTGCACAGTAGCATCTCAGCACGGTTTTTACCATGTGATGCTACTGCACAGTAGTATCAGGCTACTGCGCAGTCAGCATTTTGTGTAGACCCAGTATGACTAAGAGAGGGAGGATTAGCTAGGAGAAATGGTACTATTATTTATCATTAGAGCAAAAGACTAGGAGTTGGAACTTCTGCGTACTTTTTTTGTCTCTGTTACATCATCTCTCTGTGCTAGATCATAAACCCCTTCAGAGTGGTGAATAGTTACCAATCCAAATAGTATTTCTGAAGTAAGTTTACTCATGTGAGTAGCTGATTACAAATGGATGGAAAGAATTCATGATCTGATTCTCTGTGACCTAGTTATTATTATTTGTTAAATAACCTTTACTTAACTAGGTATGTAGGCTTCTGTTATGATGTGCAACATTTGTAAAATGCTTGTGTCGTTGGATAAAAGGCGTGGCAGAAGTGCAGATTATTAGCAGACACCTCAGTCTATCTTGTTTGTACATAAAGATGTGGGAAACATGACTCCTTTTCATCTGCCTCAGGTACCCAGTCTGTGATGGGTATATTCTGAGCTGATTCCATCCTCCAGTTTATTGCAGTCCCATTCCTCTCAAGCGTCAAAAGAAGCTATCATATTTTATTTAAAAGATTATTTATTTTAATTGAAATTTAGGTAAAAATTACTGTCAGCAGTTACTTTTGCATTTCAGATCACAGTTTACAGCTCTTTGAAGTCTGTATGTTTGAAGGAAAAGAAGTGCTTGGGATAAGCTGAACTTGAATTAAATCATGTAGGCAGATAACAGATTGAATTTGCAGTATGGCTCGTTTTGTGAGGAAAGTCAGTCAAATGATGAGTAATGCTGAGCCAACTTGCATCACAACAGGAGGTAGTGCAGTTTTAGTGCAAGATATTGTGGTTCACTGCATCTTAATTATGGACCAGTTCTTCCAACTTGAGGGATGATGGTTCTGAAAAATAAATGCATTTTCAATATGTATAAACACTATGGTTCCCAATCATGTAATTATGATAAACCTGGTACAAATGCTGGGATTTTCAGTAGCACTTATTCATAACTTGCAGCGTATTACTTACGAAGTCACAATTTTACCTTTTATTAAAAAAAAAAAAAACCTTTTATTTTCTGCTACTGTGTGATGGGGGGGGGTGAGCAGGGGCAGTGAAAAGGAAGGTCTGTTGTGTAGTGAGGTCTGAAAGTCAGAATGCCTAGAGTTTATTCATAGCTGAACTACCAATTTTCTTTTTGATCCTAGAAAAATCACTTCACTGTTCCTCTGACAAGTTATCCTAGCCCAAGAAAGCTGCAGAGTATGTATGTGCTGTGATATTCCTTTTTGTTTAACTGGCAATGCTTTTACACCTTAACTAGCTATCAGAACACAATGGGTCAACAGGATTGTTCTCTTTTTCATGGAGCACACCTGAACTCTCTGCTAAGGTAGTGCCTATGATTTCTTAGCAAATATTCAACCCAGTAGGGAGCTGCAGAACTCACTTCCATCTTCCAAGGGTTAACAGTAACCTATAATAATAATTTTGTGACACAAAAAATGCTTCTTTTTATGCATTACCTATTTCCAGAGGCCTAATTTAGGTTTTGTATCAAAATGGATATCACAAACTCTCTAGCTTCCTGCTGAGAAGGAAAGTGCTACTGAGAGTCTTCGCTCTCTCTTTTTCTTATGGTGGCATCTGGGAGGGGTGAGGGAACAAGGAAGCAATTGCTCATATCACTAGTAGTAAGTATAAATAGTGGTGCAGTGGGCTGCAAAGGTAAAATAGTTTGACAGAACTGTTATATCAAGGCCTGACCCCTTTTTATGTTGTATTCGAGGCAAAATTTACTCTTTTAGCAAAGAAAAAAGCTGAATCTGTTGCATAAATTTGTGTTTTAACCACACAGACATTACATGTATTATTTAAATTGGGTAAACACTGTGATATAGTATGAAGGGATTATGGATTATGGATAAATACACACAGATAATTACATCCAGTGACAGCTTAATGTACATGTCTCTTCTACAGGTTCATAAATTCAGAGAGTCAGGTTCTGCAAAGAGCCAGCTGAAACTTGTTTCACAGAAGAAATGGGTTGTTTTTTTGTTGTTGAAAATGTTTAACTTTTGATTACATTAAAAAAAACCCTTAGAAATCAAAACTAGAAATTCTTTTATTGAAAATATTTTTATTTTTTAAAGCAAAAAATGTTGACTGAAAACATTATTTTAACACCCTTTTAGGAAACAGAATGGTATAGTTTTCAGTTTGATTTTTATTGAGGAAAAACAATAATTTTGTGGGAAATTTAAATGAAGAAAAAACCTATTAAAATATACTTACAAGCTGATATTCTTTGACCAGCTCTTTTCCACTGTTAACACCAATTTGTTTCACCTGCAGACCCCTATCACATGCCTGGCTTCCGACTTTTGCTTATAGAGGTGGACTCTGGAGTGTGAAGTTCTTATTTGGCAATCTGTTGTTCCCTGTTTAGCCAGTTGGTCACAGAGTTCACTCTTCTTTTCTCTTTATGAGGTTGGAAAAGGAGCCTAAAACTCTATCAGACTGTCCCCAGGAAAGTTATGCTCCTCTTTCTTCATCAGTGCTTTTTAAAAAGGGTTCTTGGAGTTCAAGATCTTACCACTGTTTGAATCTGACAAATTCAAACAAATTGAAGGGCTGAAATATGGGATGCATGAGTTCATGGCACTCACCTGGCCTGTGTTGGGCAATACAGGCTGGGTGAATATAGGCTGTATATCTAGGCTGAGTGAATGCTTTGGGCACATATCTTTCTCTACTAGGTTTTTTCATTTGTAAATACTGTGATGTTGCTATTAGAATGCCTCAGTTGGACCATGTACTTTGTCTGTGCCTCTGTTTCATTTACAGTGCCCTCTGGAATAATTTTACACAGCCATTAGGGGAGTCTGAATAGTATTATTTTTTTTAGGGTGTCTCCCTGTAAACATATTCCTGTACTCACAGGTTGGGACACGAGAGGGACAGGGAAGTAGAGATGTTGGCCACCTTCCTTCTGTGTTCAAGCAATAAATAATGCCCACCTGTAATTCAGAAATATCATGCAGCACCTGGATTTAAGTGGAGAAAGTCAGTGCTCCAGCCATAAATCTGAATTTGCTTTGACTTTGGGGATAAGTCTGAACAGAGGTGTCCTTCCTCTCACCCCCACTCCACTTTGTGTTTTAATTTCCTTCGCTTTTAAGAAAGTATATTTTGAAATGAGGCGGAGGAGGAGAGTAATATGCCACTGACATGCTTTGGGATCTGAGATTCCTTTGGACCCCATAGGATGTCAATGGACTCATTAAGATTTAGCCAAGTTTTATGCATTATTCATAATATACATTCACAGCATGCA